AAAGTCAAGAGCTTTCCAGGTTCCAAATCTTAACATGTCAAATTCTTTTCACAGGTAAATATCAAAGCACTCCCACTGTGAGTTCCACTCTTGACTAGTCCTCCCCCCCCATGGGATTTAACTTTTATAACAGGCTTTGTGTGCATTATAGGAACAGCATTCCTGACAGAGATTTTCAAAGGAAATAAAAAAAATTTCCCTTTAAAACAGGATACGTGAACTCGGACCCACATAAGCAAAATGTTTAATAACTTGCCAATTGTGTTCAAATTAACAAAGGTTTTGTCCCTTCGTTTCTTCCACAGCCAAACTAAGTGAAGGAAAGCAAACAAACTTGACAGATAATAACAGTAATTATATGGAAATGTGATAATAATATTGGAATGAATGAAATGCTTAATCCGCTAAGATTTTTATTATTTGCAGCTTCCCATGTAAATTGAAGGACATCCTTTTTGCCTTTTGCCCCTTCCCTTTTCTAACTCTGTCTTTTAAGTCCCCCAAACCCCGCCCCTTACAGGATATCACTTCTACAGATGTGTTACTACAGATCCAATGAAAAGCTTCGCCACCACAAGACTATTACCTGCAGCAACAACAACAGACACCAAAGTTTTCAAAGTGGCCACAGCAATTTCTTTCAAAGGGGAAGTGAGGCTGACAAAGGGAGGTGGAGTTGAATTGTAAGGACATCTTCTCACTTTTGAACCTCAAGACTGTGCTCCAGGATTCAAAAGATACATACATAAAATATCACAATTTGTCTCAAGATATGCAACTGATATTTGATTACTTTGTTTTATATTATGTGTTATTACCTAGGAATGTTGAAATGTGTCTGACAGTGTGTTATTTCCACAAAAGGGGGGGGGGACTATTTTTGTGTGTAATTGTTTTTATGTTTAATGTCTTATTCCTTACACCCCAGTGGAGGATTCTCATACATTTTATGCTTTTTAACAGATCAGGCTATTATGTAGTCCAATGTTTATAATTAGATAAATTTATAACCACATTTCGTTGTTCCACCTGGCACTCTGCCAACTTCCCTACCCATTTTAAAATGTGCTATAACTTGCTTTACCAAAGAGAAGCTGATAAGATACATAAAGGTGCATATGCTTTGGTTTAGCAGGAATGATCCCTTATAGAGTTAAATTGACTTATTTGGACACGTGCCTTTTAAGATAACGTTTTTAATCTCTCTCCCTTTTTTTTTTGCTAAAGTCCATTGGTGTCAATTGGTTTACTCTGTGTTTTTAGTCATACCATCCTATAAAAACCATTGGGAACAGTGTAAAGAAAAGGAACAAATTGTCCCATCCCAGTATTCTGTGGGTATGGCTTCTAGAAGAGACATGACCAGGGGTCATGGGCAGAATAAACATTCTGTGAAATTCTGGCAGTGGACAAAGCTGCATTGTAACTTTTGAATAAATGTTTGGTTTTAAATAAATGAATGAATGAATGTTGAATAAACATATAGCCATATATCTATTTAGTTTTCCAGTTCATATTCTTCTCCAGTATTTTGGGGTTTCAAACACGTGGGGTTTCAAAAGAACAAGGAAATATAAGTAACAATATTGCCTCTGTAAGTTGGCCAGTGTCTGTTAGGATTCTTGCTCCATGTTTGCAGTCATGGGATTGTTGTTCTATCACATGACGGTGTATGTTTTCATTCCACAGTGTGGGAAGTGATGGAGACAGGATGTTTCTGTTACTGTGTTCTGTGAAGTGGGACTATTCTCCTTTGTTCTTTCTCTTTGCTGTCTAATGAGAAAGAGGAAGGAGCTAAGTCAGAATGCTCCAAGTGTATTATATGTAACTAAACGTAGATTAGCCAAAATGCTGTGCTGCTGAGTTCTGTTACACGAACTGCAAATACTCTGCAGGATCCCTAAGTGTGCTGATGCTTCTTGGTATCAGTCACTGTGATGTTCAGGCTGGAGAAAGCTTTTGAAGCTCCCGAATGACCGACCTGGTGGGAGACAATGTGCCAGTTGGGCATGTGTCTCTGCCAGGGTCCTACACGCGAGTAGGATGATCCTAATAGTGTCACAATAATCATGTGTGTCCTGTTGTGGTTCCTGGCATGTGCTCTCCTCCTCCCCACCCCATGCCCAAGCACAGGACCACCTCATTCTGGCACTCCTTCAGAGAGCAATACAACAGAGTGATTTCAAAATGACAACAAAATACAAGCAACCAGAGTGTAGGAGGACTAGAGACAGGTGCACTGTAGGGATAGACTAGTCATTGAGAGGAGTCAAAGTACTCTGATGCTGTTGAGGTTGTTCCAATTTAATAATCTGCCTTGGGTCTAGTTAAATGTAGTGGTTCCATGAGACCAATATGTCAACATTCTGCCCCCTCTTATTGTAGACAAATTCATTAAAGTCTAATTAGGACTCTGTAAGAAGATGAACACTTTCAAGAAAACTATCCCAGTGAAAAACATCAGTCTGTCAAAATGGAGCAAGGTCCTGAACCCTGGCAAATGAGTAGCTCCATACTGAAACACCTGGAGTTTGTAGCTTTTAAAATGTGTGGTGCTTGTATACACAAATAGTGACCTGAGGCACATAAAGCCAACATTACTGCTTTCTTATAACAAATTTTTGGATGAGATGCCACTCCTATCCAAAATCTGTCGTCATGAAACAACTGAATTTCTGTTTTAATATGCTAATTGGTAATATAACAACAACCATGATGATGTTATCAGATCTTTGATTTGAAATCACCACCAGAATGCAATTTGTATGGTATGTTGTCAGTGATGCGAGACTCTGCTCTCAAAACTCAAAATCCTATTTGAAAGTAATCCAGATTCCACACCAAGAGAGCCAAGATTCTGTAGCCTGTGTGAATTAAGTTAGAATACACATGTTGTTTTGGTTTTAGTTTTGCTTTTTTGCGTAACTTACTCTGGTTTTTCTAGTCATTTACAGTAGAAAGGAACTATGCACAATACCTGAGCTATTTCTTATCACTAATGGATCTTCTCCAAAGCATTGTTCTGGCTTTTGCAATTTCACAAGTGTGAGGAGTTACCTGAAAGCAGGCATTCCATCAGACCGCCTCATTGGGAGAGATGGGAAGTGTTGTGTTGGGGTATCAGGAAAGCATGTCAGAAGGAAGCAGGCCTCTCAAAGAACAAATGTCCTTTATTACTATAAGGCAAGACTAAAAGAAGAAACTCACCCTGGAGACTACAGGGGCTCAAGGGTCCAAAAAGCATTACATTCATACAGCACCCCCAGGCTTACATAGCAGGAAGCAGGGCTCACTTGCAGGCAGGAAGTGTCTTGTTTAAATGATTGTATGTAAGCCACTCTGGTAACCATTTTGGCTGAAGAGCAGGGTATGGGTGACAACAACAACAACAACACAGGCTATACAGTGGGTGTTTTAAAGGTCAATCAATGCTATAACTTCATTCATTAGCTAAAAACACTGAAAGGTGGGGAAATGCTAGCTTCTTTAAAAAAACAAATAAGAATAGAGCCTGAACATTTTGCCTCATATTTTTGGATCTAAAAATGTTTGTACAATTTCTTTTGAACAGGTTACACCTCAATTTCTACATTCCAGTAAAGAGTCCCATCCCACAAGTTTCAGTAATACCCATAAGATTCCAATTCATCTTGCTTGTTACCCATACTCTGTGCAATCGTATGGAGACAACAGAAACCATGAGTCATTCCCTCCAGCTGCTTCCTTCTTGTAGTTGCTTGCTCTTTACCAAGTTTCTGTAGCACCACTTCAGTTTTCTGTGCAGCAAATGAAGCTATTATCCCCAGTACCAGGTGTTCACCTGTCATCTGTAATACTGTCTCCCTTCTCCTTAGGATTTAGTTTAAAGCACTCCTGATCAGGTTCAGGAGACTCTTAGCAAACATATTGTTGCCAACCACTGTGTGAGGTGCAACCCATCTCCTGCTAGAAGTCCTTCCTCAAGCATATAACACCTGTGTTCAGAGATCTGCACTTGTTGCCAATCTGTGACAGGACCAGGTTCAAGGTGTTACTGTTAGTATTTAAACCCCTTAACAACCAGTCTACCTACGATATCACCTTACCCTATGTGTGTACACAATCGACAGATATGGCACATTTATAAATCAACAAAATACCTGCACCACATCTGTAGGAACATAGCATTTGGTGTGCCAGCACTGACACTTTAGAACTCCCTGATTTTTGATATCGGACAGGTGCCTTCGCTGTATTCCTTGTTGTACCTGTTAAAGGCATTCTTATTCAGATAAACCTACTCATATGTTTAGAAATTTTGCAGGAGTTTTAATTGTTTTAGTCTATTTTACTGCTGTTGTAACATTCTGCATATTTTAAATTACAGTTGCAAAACTTTTTAGTGATACAGTGGTACCTCGGGTTACAGACACTTCAGGGTTCAGACGCTTCAGGTTACAGACTCCGCTAACCCAGAAATAGTACCTCAGGTTAAGAACTTTGCTTCAGGATGAGAACAGAAATCGTGCTCCAGCGGCGTAGCGGCATCAGGAGGCCCTTTAGCTAAAGTGGTACCTCAGGTTAAGAAAAGACCTCCAGAATGAATTAAGTTCTTAACCTGAGGTACCACTGTACTGCTTTTCAACAAGTGTATAATCAAGAAGTTCATATATCTTTTCTTCTCTTCTTCAAAGAGGATATTTCTTGAGACTTGTAGACTTCACTGGGCAGATGCTATCAATTACTCTTGGCTCTTTCAGAGGAATTGGCTATTGAAGATATCATGCAAGAGAGGAATCCTGGATATATTTCCATAGTAGTCCAGTTTCTGACCCATTGCAATATTTCTTTCTTTCTTTCTTTCTTTCTTTCTTTCTTTCTTTCTTTCTTTCTTTTCTTATTTCCTCTCTCTCTTACTTTTTTGTCTTCCAGTTAAACATCAGCCAAGTGTCAGAGACACAGCTGCAACCATCCAGCAGTCTGTACCAAAAGTCCTATATCAATTATAAGCTTTAACATTGTCAGGCAACATACTTCTCCATCACACGTCTCAAAGCACTCTTCACTTCCTTATTCCTCAAGCTGTAGATGAGGGGGTTTAGCATGGGTATTACCACCGCATACAACAAAGAGGCCACTTTGCCTCCATTTCTTGATGTATTAGGTTGGAGATACATAAAGATAAAGCTTCCATAAAGGATAATAACAGCCATCAAGTGGGAAGAGCAGGTGGAGAAGGCTTTATGCCTGCCCTCAACTGAGCGGATTCTCAAAATAGTGGCAACAATGTAAGAGTAAGAGATAAGGACTGTCAAATGGGTGCTTATCAGGTTAAAGCTAGCAAATGAAAACATGACAAAGATATTGAGGCTGGTATCAGAACAGGAAAGTTGAAAGAGTGGGGGACCTTCACAGTAAAAATGATCAATGACATTAGGACCACAAAATGATAAACGAGTCATGCAACCTGTGTGTATCACAGCATTGACAGTTCCAGCAATGTATGAACCAGCCACCAGAAAAGCACAAACCTTCTGAGACATGGTGATTGTGTAGGTGAGTGGGTTGCAGATGGCCATGTAGCGGTCATATGCCATAGCAGCCAGGAGGTAACACTCAGTGGTGGCAAAAGTTACATAAAAATAGAACTGAACTATACACTCATTGAAAGTAATCACTTTCTTTTCCCTTAGGAGGTCTTTCAGCAGCCTGGGACTGATGGTAGTTGAGTAGCAAATGTCTAAGAAGGACAAATTACTAAGGAAGAAATACATGGGGGTGTGAAATCGAGCATCAGTCCTGATTAACATAAGCATCCCAAGATTTCCCACAATTGTGATGAGATAATTGACTAGAAACAATGCAAACAAGGTGGCAGCCAACTCTGGACTATCAGTGAATCCCGTGAACACAAACTCCTTTACTCTACTGCTGTTCCTGTCAGGCATTTTTCCCCCCTGATGGAATCAAAGAGAAACAAAATGGTGGTGGGTGAGGAGTGGGAAGATTTGGAAATCATTCACCATCAGAAATGAGGTAATCAGTCTTCACCGCTATATGTGCTTTTTTAAATAGAGAAATTGAGGTTTAAAGTCCTGAATTATGGCTGGAATATAAAATTTAAAGGATCACCATTGGTGGAGAAGACCTTTAACATATGAGGATGGTGTTTCCATATCTCCTCTGTCACAATTTAAAGCAGTGGCACTCTATTACCTTGAAATAAGGCAGTATACATAGCTTTACACAGCACAAAGAGAGGGTGATGTAGTAGGGTGGCCATATGTCCGGAACTTCCCGGACATATACGGAATACTGCAGTCGTAAGCAGTGTCCAGCTGTAAATCGACCAAAATTTATGGGACAATCCAGACACATGGCAATCCATGTTGGCAGTGTCATTTTGGGGTGATTTCAATAAAAAAGCTAAACAGCTTTAGGCAAAACTAAAAAAGCTAAACGACTTTGGCAAAAAACCCAAAAACCTTTTGTGTCCAGATTTTCACTTTTTGAAATACGGCAACCATATGATATAGGGAGGGCAGAGGGGACTGAGCCCACATTCCGACATGTGAAGATTCCCCAGAAACACCTCTGTCTGCAGCCAACTTGCTGGTATTGAACACTTAGTGATTATTTTCAGCAGTGAACTAGGCCTGTCTACAAAGGTGACCACTATATGTGCACATCTCATTCTGTTTAAAGAAAACACATGGAAAACATATGCTCTTAAATTACACTGCATTTTGCAGTTTAATTCTGAGAATACTTCAGCGGAGCCCTTTCACTAACATGCATGCAGAAACATAGAAATCTCCTTGCTTGCAGTACTTATGACACCATCTTCCTGTAATGTTTGTGTATGTGTGTGCGCTTTGTAATAGTTACATGCATTTAAGAGAAAAATAGTTAATTGATTCTATTCAAAGTGTCCAAACACAAAATATTGGCACTATTATTTCATACTTCCAACATTTCTATGATGAAAATAGGGACGTTCCATTCCATAATGATGATTTTACTATTTATACCCTACACATCTTACTGGGTCACCCTAGCCACTCTGGGCAGCTTCCAACATATATAAAAACATAATAAAACATTAGAGATTGACTTCCGGTGGGGCGCGGATCCGGTTGCAGGCGAGGGTTTGTTTCTCTGGAGAGAGCTCTAGCTTTTTCAGCCGATTTGGGAGTTTTTGAGGGCGACAAAACTCCCGCTAACCCTCTGGAGGGTATCCAGAGGTCTAGGTGCCCAGCAGCGCCGAGGTGCCGTTCGTCAGGTCGTCAGGTAGCCTTTGAATAAAGGCGAAGAGAGCGACGGAACGAGCGGCGGCTAATTGGGTGGCCATTACAGCGGCGAATTAGCGAAGCCCCGAGCCGGCAGGCTAAGCGCCCCGCTCTCGATACAAAGAAACTCAGACACTGAAAAGGAGTGTTGGAAACAGCGTGAGTGGGGAGGATAAGGAAGTATCTGAGCAGAAAGAGAAACACCCGAGGTCAACGTCAGCTTGTCTTCATTGGAATTAGACGCAGTGTGGTTTGCAGAGCCAAAGGAGAAAGTAAGTTGCTGCTAGCGGCTACAGTGTCCGTCCCTCCCATAGACTTCCATAGAAGTTAAACCTTCTCCGGAAGCAGAGGAGAAAGGGGAACAATCGAGGGAGGGCAGAGAAGAGCGGTACTAGAAAAGAAATCCAGTCGATATAGCAACGAAGACAATGAAATATAAAGAGGATAAAGGAGACTACTGTTAAAAGGACTACTGTTAAGGCTTTTGCAAGGGGTGTTAAGTGGCTTCTAAAAAGGGGTGAAAAAAGGGAGGAAAAAACACACACTGGACATTTTGAATTACTGTATTACCGTTCCGGGACTTCCTTTATTTGTTACCACTCCTTTGGGACTTAACTCTCGGGTTATTGAAAGAGGCAGGAACTGGGGAAGAACTGCGTGAAAATCAGGCAAACAGGAAAGACCAATTATCCAATTATCCAACAGGAAAGACCAATTATCCAATTACCTAAATATCTAAGAACTCTGCTCCTAGGGGTGAAAGGGACCGACTCCACCTGGTGGATTGAACTAAACATTGCACCTTAACTTTGGAACCTTAGACTATTTTGGGATCCAGAACCTCATAGGCTAAGTTGTTGTTAAAAGACTGGATGGATTAGCCCGAATAGGGGCAAGAAGATTTCAATTAGGATATTATTGGGAAGGAGGATTAATCAATTTCCCACAAACCTCTGGAAGGGGGGATAATATTTAAGTATATCGGTTAAGATGAATGTTATGAGAAGTGGGGTCCGGCGGTTCTCTCTCTACTTTTGGTAAATTGTCATCTGTCATTATAGGCCGTTAGTATATAAGGGGGTTTATTTTATCTTCGGTGGTTAACACCTCTTTGGGGTTAACTGAAAAATTTGGACAGTCTAATTATAAGGATAGGACGACATAGATTGGGAGGACAGGTGATTCAGTGATATACTTAGTGATATAAAGGAATTCCAGAGGTTTAACGATAATGTCACATACTCAAAAGAAAGGGGCGGAGGGAGGAACCCCAACTGATAGGAGAGCCTCAAAACAAGAAACAGAATTTAAAACAGAAATTTTAAGGATGTTCGCAGAAATAAAGCAAAGCGAAAAAAACTTAGAAACAAAATTGGAACAGGTGGACAATAAAATCGGAAAAATGGATAATAAGATTGAGGAGACAGTAAGGGAGTTAAAAGGACAGATTAAAGAGGTTTCAAAAAGAGTGGACGAGGGATTAAAAAAGACAAAGCAGGAAATGAAAGAAATGAAGCGAGAAGAAGAAAGAATGAGGAATGAGATAGCAGACCTAAATAAAATACAGGAAGAAATAAAAGACTCCATTGCAATGAACGAACTAAAACAGAGGGAGATTAATTTAAGATTGAGACAAATTCCGGAAGTACAAAATGAAAACATAAAAGAAAGATTAGTAAAGGAAATAGCACAGTGGATGGAGGTGGAGGAGGAAGATGTGGCGAGGACAATTATAAATGCATATAGAATGAAAATAAAATCAAATAAAGTCAGGAAATTTCCAGGGGACTGTTTAGTTACATTCAAAGATAGAGAGATGAGGAACCTGATTTTGCAAAGAAATAGGGAAAAGAGATTATATATCGATGGACATTACATAATCATATTTAAAGACATTCCTATAAGGCTGTTAAAACGAAGAGAACCCTATAAACCACTAGTGCAATTGCTTAAAAAGAATAGGATCGATTTCAGATGGGAATTTCCGGAAGGGGTCTCCTTCTTTTATAAAGGAGTTAAAAGAAGATTGACTAGCCCCGAGGAAATAGGAAAGTTTACAAGAAGATATAAAGAGCTTCAGGCGGGAGAAGAGGAGCCGAAAGGTGCAGAAGGGGGATTTAAATTGAGGGAAGAACTAGAATTAGGTGAAGAGGAAGATCAGAGTAGAGGAGAACTAGAAGAAGACGAAGAGGAGGAAGAAGGAGAGGAGACAGAAAGGATATAGAATAATACCTAAACTAGAGCAACACCTAAACCAATATGTCTTTAAAATTATGGAATTGGAACATTAATGGAATGAACGATAAGAAAAAACGTAATGGAATTGAACGTATCCTAAAAAAGAAAAATTTAGATATCATATGCCTTCAAGAAACTCATGTGGCCAGCAAACATAAGAAAATCCTTATTAATAAGAGGTTAGGGAATGAATTTATTTCTTCGGATAAAAAGAAAAAAAGAGGAGTAGTACTTTATATTAAAAATAATATTGAATCACACCAATTATTTAAGGATGAGGAAGGGAGAATAATAGCAGTCCGCATTAAATGGCAAAGTGAAATGTTGATAATAGTGGGGATTTATGCGCCAAATGGAAATAAAACAGAGTTTTTCAGATTACTGGAAGAGAGATTATTTGAATATTTGGATCAAAAAATTATAATAATGGGGGATATGAACGGGGTGGTCTCAACGGAAATAGATAGATTAAGGAAAACGAAGACAGAAGGAGGGAAATTACCTAAGTCATTTTTTGAAATGGTTAAGAACTGTAACTTAGTAGACATATGGAGATTGAGACACCCCCTGGAGAAACAATATACATTTCACTCTGAACCGAACCAATCGATGTCAAGATTAGACCAAATATGGATATCAAATGAATTAACACTAAGAATCAAAAGAATTGAAATACAGGCTAAAGTTATCTCTGACCATAATCCCATATTAATGGAGATGAGGGGAGTTGAAGAACGAACCTTCAGATGGAGATTAAATGATAACCTATGGGACGATCAAAAATTCGTGGAAAAAATACGGACAAAATTATTTGAGTACTTTACAGATAACCTAGACAAAGGGGTAAAAACAAGTGTGGTATGGGACGCGAGTAAGGCAGTAATGAGGGGCCTGTTTATTCAACAAAATGTGTGGAAAAGAAATAATAAAGAAAAAAGAATTAAAGAGATTTTGAGACAGATCACGGATTACGAACAAAAATTAACTAAAAAACCAAACAATGAAAGGATATTGCAGGAAATAAAGTCCCTTCAAACCCAATTTGCAATGTTAATAAATAAGGAGGTTGAGTGGAATATCAAAAGACTAAGACAAAAAAATTTCGAATTTGCCAACAAGTCAGGAAAATGGCTTGCATGGCAAGTCAAAAGGAGAAAGGAACAAAATATAATTAACAAAATACAAATAAACGGAGAAGAGATAACTGATCCAAAAGGAATTAGAAGAGGATTTATGGATTTTTACGAGCAATTATATAGGAATAAGGAGAGAAACAACAACAGGAAAATAGAAAGATACTTAAAAGGGAAAATGGTGAGAAAGATTTCGATAGAGCAAAAAGAAAGGTTAAATGCTCCTATTCTCAGAGAAAAGGTAGAGGAAGTGATAAAGGAATTGAAAAGAGGGAAAGCCCCGGGCCC